GGGTAGAGCAGCTGGGGTGCTGCCGGGTTGGTCCTGTGGGAACCTACCGGGCAGCGCCCCAGCTGTTCTGTCCCAGGCTCCAGATTCAGCAGCTGTTGAAACTGATCAGGCTGATTCCAGGAAGCTGGGGGCAGAGCAACTCTGCCTCCGGCTTCCTGTAGTCAGCCCCTGGTCAGTTTCAGTGGCAGCAGCTGAATCTGGAGCCAGTTCCGACTTACATACAAATTCAACTTAAGAACAAACCTATAGTCCCTATCTTGTACGTAACCCGGGGACTGCCTGTACTTTCAAGTAGGAATAAGGGATCTTCCGGAAAAGGGCTTATTTTCCGCAAGATCCTGTCTAGACTGGCGCTTTTCTCCGCAAAACTCCGAGCCGGAAAAAAGCGACAGCCATGTTCATGCAAATGCCACGGGGGATATTTAAATCCCCCACGGCATTTGCAATTCCAACTGGTCTCATTAGCATCCCTTTTCCGGAAAGGGGTGCCAATGTAGAAACAGCCTACCAGTACAGTGCAACCTACAAGCTTTATTAGATCAGAAGAACAATTTTTGATTCTTAACCAGAAAGTCTCTCAAACTGTTCTGCTGTTCTCTGTTGTACATTGCCTTAGAACAGGTTCAATAGGAGCTCTGCACATTCACCTTTCTCCTTGTAGTTTTCTTTTATATCGTATTTATCATATCACTGGCCTATGTTTTGCAACTGTAGTTCCCTTTTTTACTGTTTGTCAGAAACATTCAGCAAATAAACAGGGATCAGTTCTTGTTTTAGATCCAAGAACTTTGGTCGATAAGATTCCCTCAAACCCTGCGTCTGAAATAGATTTCAGATACTCCCCATTTTTCCCATTGCTGGAACTCTACCGCAGTAAATAGCTGTAATAATGGTTTCTGCCCCTGAGAGCAGCACAACTCGCTCATTGAAAACCAATTCCCTACAAACAATTTATCTGTTCAATACTATTATGGTTACCACTTTTACAAGATTATAATACATTTTGTACAAAATGTGTCTTGTGAGTTATTATTTGAAAACTCAATTTGCTGAACACTACTTTCCTGTTAAAAATGTATGCATCAACACTGTATAAGAAATTATTAGATTCTATGTATCATTGTTTTAATATGCTCCAAGGTTCAGACAAGCAGCTCCTAACCAATTTTTCAGAGACGAAGGCTCACTGGCACTCCAACCAGATGTTAAAGAGCAAACATCTACTTAGGAAGCCATTTTTCAGCAGAAAATTACATCTAATTTCAGATGTATCAGCGGCAACAGCACAGGTGGCAGGTGGGAGCCCGTGTGCGAGGGAAACAGCTGATACAGAGACAGCAAGGAGGTGGGGGGGATGCGTGTAGTTGAAAAGATTAATCGATAAGCCTAGGCTTATCGGTTAATTGTGTATTTGACTACACATTGACATCCCTAGTAAGCAATTGTGAACAACAAAAGTTGTCAATCAAGTGCAAGTTTAGACATAGCTAAGTTATTTATAAATAGCTAACTAGTAGCTCTCAATATTGTGTGGCTGAGACTAGGAGCAAGCTATATGCCGGTGTGTAAGCAGAACATGGAGTGGTGGTTGTTCACTAGCAAAGTGGTGTATCAGGTATCCCAGAGTAGAGAATTAAGGGGACACAGCTGTTCAATACTCCTCATTGTACCCCGGGGAAAGTCACAGCCATGTTTTTAAAAGGGAATTTTCACAGACTAAATTTGTATAACACCTTACCTAGAATCAACTACCATGGCTAACAGCCATATTGAAATCCAAGACAATTATTAGATCATTCACTGTTTCAGAAATAGTGAATGAACAGTGAATTTGTTGCTCAAATTTTAGAGCTCCAATCTTCAGACCCAATTTTCCCGGGTACATTTGGCTCAGTCAATCTCCACTTAAGACTAATTAGACATTTCAGTTTGGGATTGCCTATTCTATAGCCCTTTTAGCATGTCTGATCTAATAACTTATATACTGTATTTAAGATTGTGTCAGCTATCCTTATATACATCATATATCCTATTATATAATCTATAGCCAAACTCCAATTACTGTTATTTAACTTCCCAGTTCTAAACTTAGCATCTGATCCTTGTATCTCCACAACCTTTGCCCCATCAGTGTGGTGATCCCCATTTTCCTATATTGTGGCAGAAACTTTTGCTAGATACCTTCAACTGTCTTTGTCTGCCTTAAATGTATAACAATCTGTTTTTGTGGCTGCTCTTACCATAGTACCAATAATGCAAAACCACCAATTGCTCTTTTTTTTACAAACCAAATGTATGTTTGAATTGTTCAGTGAGATCATGAACTAGATCAGAATCCACTCTATCATACATATTAGACACAGAACTGTACTTTCAGATATAATGCTGATCAGATTACATCTTCCACGGTACTGGTTGCTCCCTCTTTTGGTGAACTTCTGCAAAGTTCTATAGAAAATTCCAGTCTCTGGTCTCCTTTTGCTGATCTTGATCTGCAAGTCCAACTCCCAGCATGTATTAGGATGTAAACAAGTCAACTATACAATTAACCGATAAACCTAAGCTTATCAGTTAATCTAGTTGACTACTTACATTTCTCCCCTTGTGGCCTCTATTTGAGAGGCCACAAAGGGCGGGGGGAGGGGAGCTGGGGGGAGCTGGTGCTGGGGGGAGCCAGCTTAAAAGCAGTTTCTCTCCACCTGGCCGCAGGGGAGGCTTCCGCAACGCAATCTCTGCCCACAGGGGCCCCCAGTTCCCTCCACTAGGACCCCCAGCAGAGGGAGGCAGCAGTGAGAGGTAGCCCTGCCCCCAGGGACTATAGATACAAAACTGGTCAAGATAGTTATGTCCACAGCAGACTGCAAAGAACTTAAAAATGACCTCACAAAACTGGGTGATGGGGAAACAAAATGGCAGATGAAGTTCAATGTTAATAAATGCATAGTAATGCACATTGGAAAAAATAATCCCAACTACACACATTGTGGCAGAGCTCCGGTCATAGCACTGGGTCCCACACTTCCTTGTGGATTTTTATTATGCCTCAGAGGCTCACAGTGACACCCCCCCCCCCCTACTTCCAAGGTCCCCACTTAACAAGCCATCTTCATCACAGGCAAGTCACTAGCTTGGGAGAAAACCCTTCCATGATCCTAGAGTCTCCTTCCCCCCCGTGGCAGCCTACCAGGCATGGGAAGGATTGGGGGCACCCAGTCCAGCCGTTACTCCAGGTTCCAGCCCAGGGTCCTCAGTGGCAGCCACTACTGTGGCTTTTGCATTTATTCTACAAAATAGTAGCCTCCCCCTGGGCCATTTCCCTCGCCACTCCCACAGAACCTTCTCCTTGGCACTTTGGTAAAAACCTCTCTCAGTGCTTCTTCATGCTGCACTTCCTCCCCTCTGGTCTATCACTCTTCTCCTCCCCCCCACACCCCCATACCTGAGGGGCAAACCTTTTATAGTCGACCAGCAGGCCTTAACTGGCTGCAAGTCTCCGATTGGCCTGCTTCTGCAGGACAACTCTGAAGGATTCTCAGGTGTCTGACTGTCTTGGTTACTGAGCAAAAGTCTTTGGCAGCCTATCCAGGAAACAGGAACCCACTCATCCAACTCCTGGGCTGTTGGAATAAGGAATAAGGGACCTTTCGGAAAAGGCTTTATTTTCCGAAAGATCCCCGTCTAGACTGGCGCTTTTTTCCGGCAAAGCCCCGAGCCGGAAAAAAGTGCAAATGAAGCGGGGGATATTTAAATCCCCCGCTTCATTTGCAATTCCGATTTGTCTCATCTGCATCCCTTTTCCGGAAAAGGGGTGCAGTGGTAGACACAGCCCTGGTGTACCTACCGTCCACCAAACTCCTGCAGCCCACTGCCTTTGATCTGCCACAATATAAAATGATAGGGTCATTATGTTACTACTGAAATAAAAGATTCTGGAGTCATCATGGATAGTTCTCTGAAAACATCCACTCAATGTGCAGTTGCAGTCAAAAAACATATAGACTGTTGGGAATCATTAAGAAAGGGACAGAAAATATCTTATTGCCTCTTTATAAATCCACAGCGCACACACATTTTGATTAGTGTGTGCAGATGTGGTCACCTTATCTCAAAAAAGGTATATTGGATTTGGAAAATATTCAGAAATGGTAACAAAAATGTTTAGGGGTATGGAATGATTTCTGATAAGAGAATAATTAGACTGGGACTTTCCAGTTTGAAAAAGAGACAACTAAGGGGGATATGGTAGAGGTCTATAAAAGCATGACTGATGTGGAGAAAACAAATAAGAAACAGTTATTCGTTCCCTCCTATAACAAGAATTAGGGGGTCACCCAATGAAATAAGTAGCAGGTTTAAAACAAACAAAAGGAAGTATTTCTTCACAGCGTGCACAGTCAGCAAGAGGATGTTATGAAGGCGAAGACGATAAAAGAATTAAAAAAAGAACTAGATACATTCATGAAGGATAGGTCCATCAATGGCTATCAGCCAGGATAAGCAGGGATGGTGTCCCTAGCCTCTGTTTGTCAGGGATTCAGAGATAGGGCATGGATTACTTAGTGATTACCTGGTCTGTTCTTTCCTTGTGGGGCACCTGATATTGGCCACTGGCAAAAGACAAGATACAGGGGTTTGTTCTGATCCAGTATCGTCTTTCTTATGCTGTCATAGGCTTCTGATTGGGTTTCTTGTTTTTCTCTGGGTTCTTCTCTGTCCTCCCTTCCCCACTGTTCTCCCCACCATCTACGTAAACACTGCTCCAAATCTCCTGGACACACCTTTCATCTGAGATGGGGCTGATGCTTACAGGTATGTTCACTTTAATGTGTGACCCTTTAATATTATTGGCTATGACTAGACTGCCCCCTCTTGTGCAAGAAAATATGCAAATGAGGCAAAGTGGTGAAAATTGCCATGCCTCATTTGCATACTTAAGCTGCCATTTTTGCGCAAGGGACATTTGCGTAAAAAGGAGCCATCTACACAGCTCGTTTTTGCGCAAAATCTCCCTCTTGCGCAAGAGCAGTTCTTTCTGAAAAAAAGCAGCAGAACAGCTCTTGCGCAAAAGCCCCTAGTGCAAAAAATGGTGGCTCATTAAGTAAGCAAATGAGGCGTGGCAATGTTCAACTCTTTGCCTCATTTGAATATTCTCTTGTGTAAGAGGGGGGTAGTCTAGACATAGCCATTAGGGTTTTAACTCACCCCTTTTAAATTCCACCCAACTCCTAATAGGTCAGGGCCTAGTGTACAATCCTGGTTCAAGAGGGATGCTCTTCGGCTTTACAACATCATAAGCAGTCTCTACCGCTAAGAACAGGCACTGAGTTATATGGGCCTGTGATGCACCAGGTCCAGAAATACTCTTTGCTCAGTCCAGGCTTCACCAAAGTTCACTACCTGCTGTTTCCTGCCACCCCATGTGTGTGCCCTGGCCCAGACTGCCGTTCCCAGCTGACTTAAAAATCCTTGGAGGGCCCCACCATCCCTACAGCCGAGCTTGAGCCCCACAGCTGCCGGCATATGGCTTCCCGTGCGCGCTGCAGCACAGGGAGAGGGTGTCTGCAGGGCGGGTGCTTCTCCAAGGCATTCTTGACGCCATCAAAATTTCTGCCCCGCTGTCCCCACCATGCTGTAAGTTGCAATGCCCCCTGCACCACCCAGGGGCAGTCCGGCACTTCCAAACACCTGCGCAGGGTCAAAGAAGCATCTGGAGCCAGAGGCCCGCCGGCGTGGGCACCACTGTGAAAAAAGAAGTGCACGTGTTTGGCGGCGGGGGTGTGTGCGAAGGGGGAAGGTACTGTCCTATAGGTCCCCCTATAGGGGACGCTGTAGCGCAGAGGATCAGGCATTCGCAGCACAACAGGGCCGAGTCTTCGCTGCCTGTGACAGCCAGGGTCAAAGAAGCATCTGGAGCCAGAGGCCCGCCGGCGTGGGCACCACTGTGAAAAAAGAAGTGCACGTGTTTGGCGGCGGGGGTGTGTGCGAAGGGGGAAGGTACTGTCCTATAGGTCCCCCTATAGGGGACGCTGTAGCGCAGAGGATCAGGCATTCGCAGCACAACAGGGCCGAGTCTTCGCTGCCTGTGACAGCCTCTTGGTGCGCATGCGCAGTCTCCTCCTACTGCCTCAGGCCCCGCCCACTTCCCGGGCGGGCTCCGCCCTGGGCGCCTGCACGCCTCCAGGCCCCGCCCTCTCCTCGCGGAGCTCTGGCACGCGGGGAGCGTCGAACTGTGTTTTGTAATCTCCTCCGCCCCTTCCCCCACGCCGTGCCTCTCAGCCAATGGAGAGTGCCCGTTGTGGTCAGCTGACGCAGCTTTTTATGTAAGCCAGCGGCGGGGGGGCACAC